ATAGGGCTTATAGGGTTTAGATTTTGAGGCCAGGGATATTCGCAAGTTATAAGGTTCTAGAAGGCCCTGGAAGGTTATTCTATAGGGTTCTTGTACGGTTCCATGGGATATTACATATTGTAGGCGCTTTAGGGCTTTCGGGCTCATCCGACGGTTCTCGGGGTCTTAGGAGGGCTCTTGTGGTTTCTGTGGTTTCTCTTTAGGCCTAGCAGGACGTTTCGGGATATGGATGTGTGTTTCACCAGGTTTCGGGATGCCGGCAGGAGCTAGCATTCGGCTTCGCTTGTGGCATATGATTTGAAGGCTAAGTTGCCCACTTCCTGGCTTCTACTGGTTTCTGTACAAAGGCCCACAAACCCCAACCACGAAACTCTATAGCCAATCTGGCAAAGCTTCCGAAGCTATAGAAGAGAGGATACGGAACAGCCAGGGCTTTGTCGCTTACTGTGGGTGGGTTTCTTTGCTTGTTCGTCTGCGGGGTTCGGGTTGCTTAGGCCTTTGTTGTCTTTCTCCTATTTACATGGTTCCTGTTGCATCTATGTACTTCTGAGAGGGGGGGGACCCCAATAGTGGCCATGGGGGAGTGCCCCATTTCTGTCTGAATGTGGCTTCAGTCAGCCTGCCATTTGCGTGAGCATACTTGCTCGGGCCCTGGCCACTAGTCAGGATGCCCGTGAGTTCCGCGAGTTCAGCACCACATTCTGCATCTCGCAATGTTGCTTTCACTCGCATCCACTGTTGAGTGTGGCTCGGAGCCGGTCCGGGCACTCGGTCAAGCTGGTCTCTTCTTCAGTGCTTGCACAGGGACTTTCTCAGGTGCCACTGTGACCGTTGAAAAGGTTCCAAGGCCTTTCTGGCCACGACATCGACAGCGTGAAAAATTAGGGTTTATAGGGTTTTAGGGTGCGACAGCGATTCTTAGATAACCAGAAGTGTCAGGGTTCAAGAGGGTTTAGGGTTCAGGGTTTCGAGGTTTAGGGTTTATAAATAGTGCCTCTGACCCTCTAATAGGGATACTATCTAGCTGGAATACTCCTACTTATAGAAACCCCATAAAAGCCTTAGGGTCCTGCCGAGTATAGGCCCTATATATAGCGTGGACATCTGCCTGGTTGAAGCTGTGTTCATAGCCTCTACCTCCACGAAGGAATCCTTAGCCAGGGCCCTGAAACCGACTACAAAACACAGACCCTTATAAGCTCTAAAAACAAACTGTGGCTCCATGCAAGGTTCAGGCATAGCATCCAAGAACCCTGCTACACCCTATAATTCCAAAGCCTCGACAAGACCTATAAACAGAAACCACAGGGTTCTAGCAGCATACAAGCCAGGAGCCTGCGTGAATACAGCTTCTAGAGATCTGAAGGGACCAAATCTAAATAATTATGCAAAGGCCTATAGGACCCCTAATCGAAAAAAGACCCTGTCCAGGACCTGTCGCTGTATACAATATATATAATATCTATAAGAATCTTCATGATGGGGAGCCTGGACCTAAATATACCTCATCAGGATCGGTATTCCCGAAAATCCCAACCCCTGGCGACACCCAAAGCTGCGAAACGAGCTCGGTTTAGGGTTAGGGTTTAGGGTTTATATATAGGGTATATAGGGTTAAACTCCTAAGACTGAGACTTTATTCAAACCATGTAATCATCTAAGGTTGCACCTTTTGCAGAGCTTGCTGGACATCGCGACCTGGAGAGATCATGGCCACCCTGAAACCCGTGAGCCCCTCGGGATGGAAAGATATTTCCGTTCTTGAAGCATTCGAGTTTTTATGGTTTTAATTTGGGGGACGATGCTGTAATAATTCAGTCCCAAGGGCCCTCCAACAAAGACCAGGAACCCTTAAACCTTAAGCTGATTATTTCCCGAGGGGAGATCTCAAATCTTGCAAGACATACTATATAAACCTTAAAAGCTGAAGCCCTAAACCCTACAAAGATAACCTGGAAAAAATGGAACTTCAAGCAAACCTTCGAGCCCAGACTCCCAGACCGGCGTGAACTCCGAAGCTCTATATGGATGCAGCACTGAAACCCTGACCCTATGCCTATGATAAAGATTCTCGCAGCCGACGTCTAGCTTATAGAACCCGAACCCCAACACCTACAACACCCCAACTCCAGAATGTCCTAAACTCTGAACTCAATCAATCAATATGAAGACTATTGCAAGCCCTATAGAAAGCATCATCAAAGGCAGATAGTGCCTCGCACGGAGACGTCTTTCATCGCAAAGCAGACACCATGAAGTAGGTGCCGGCACCTCTTAGGTTTTGTATGTTCCAGTAATCGGCGTGCAGACTGTACTCGAGTAGAGAGTTGTTGGAGATTTTGTTTTGGACAATAATAGGGCTTCAAAAAGAGACAAGCTTGAGGTTGGGGGACATGTAGAGTTATAGAGACTTGGGGTCTCCAGGTTTGTCGACCTTTTATTTTAACTAGCGTGAAAGCCGAATGATTTTCTGGCTCTGTAAATAAAAGCGTGGCTTGTATAATTATATCTAACTATATAACCATATAGCTGTAGCTATGTCTTTATGCTATATAGAGCCTCGACTACCGCCATCCTTACTATATGCGAAAATTCTAT